TCAGAGCTCATCACAAAGCTAGGAAAAGCTAATGTTATATCCCTGAAAAATAGAAGATTAAAACTTTTAAAATGTGGAGGACTGAATTCAGAGCATCAAGCACATATATTACAGTTAGTTGCTTCAGTTAGCTTTCCAGTCATAATACAGTGAAATAAGATGTTGACCCCAAGTTTTGTATCTGATGATTGAAAAACTTCCAAGTACAAATATATTGCTTACTTTAAATATGGTAGAGTCATATTCTTTATCAAAGATGGATGCTTCAATACAAATTCCCTCCACTCTTCTTGATCAATACGTCCATCCCCTTTCTTATCTGCTTCACTATATGTCTGCAGAGAAAAGACAAACAACTTTAGAACATTCAGCTTAACTGAGCAAGAAGGGTAGGGATCACAAAAATGTATATCATGTTGCACCTTATCCACAATCACTTCGATCACATCATCCGAGAGTACAAGTTCTGATTCATGCAAAAGTGCCAGCACCATCTCCTTCAACTGTCGTGGAATAAAATTACCTTATGTTGTGAGAGGAGATTTAGAAAACACATTTTGACCAACTTAGTCCGTAGTTAAATAACATCTAGACGGCATGAATTATGGAAACAATGGCTTGGCACAGCAGTAAAGCTCATTTTAGGCCTGACATGTAGTAGGCACCGTTAATTGTATTCATTAAGAACATATTTAAGTTTGCTAAATTTAATAGGATATAAACCTTTGAAGAAAAAGAATCAACAAGATTGAGGAGTGAATTTCATTTAGAGAAACCAGGAAATAAAAGAAGGAAATGAAAAGCAAAGAAGTTTGTTAGAAACTGACCTCCTCTCGCTCAATGTACCCTGTTTGTCTCAGATCATAGAGTCTAAATGCAACTGCAAAAGAATTCCCACCATAACTTAGCAGATGATAACACATTTAGTAGGATGTCTTAAGTTTTGTTCCTTTTTAAGATAAAATGGAATAATCTTGCAGAACATTGCAGTTTGATACATAGGGGAAAAGGGTAATGTTCTTACATTCAGTTTTGTCTTCTACAGGTGCATTAGGGTGAAAGACACCCAATGATCGAACAAATTCTCCAAACTCAATAACACCATTGCGCTTGACATCAAATAAGTCAAAAATCTACATGAACACCCAAGATTAACTTGTCTAAGAGCTACGTACTAGTGCTTATTTACTACTAAGAAACAATAGATGTCCCACAAGTAATCCCACTTCCTTCAGCATATCAATGAAATAAAATAATCTGAGAATTGAGAAGCGGAGCTGGCATCCCATACCCTGTCAGCAAAAAGATTCCTCTTATCTTTGTTTTTGAAGAGTGCAAGCTGAAATTCTTCCTGCTCAAAAAGATTGATGAAAGAATTATCATTCAGTGGAACATAAAAACCCAAACTTTTAGAGTGATTATATATAGAATTTGATGAAGATATGATATTGTATACCTAAAACATTTGGATTGTTTAGAGGAGAAAAAAAGTTAAGCTAAAAATTACTTGAAAGTATTAGCAAACCTACCTTGTGGATAAGCCCATCATCAAATATTGAACTGCTCAGTTTCTTAAAAAGCTCATACAAGGCTTCTACTTCATTCACTGTAACTGCAACAAAGCAAAAACAATTCAAATTTCCAACTCTCCATTTTGGGTAAGTTAATATCTAGTTTCTGACAATCAGGAGTCGGGGTGTGTGCTCAATATCTTTAGCAGCATCCAAGTTGATTTCAGATCAGAGTTCAGTAGGACAAAATGGTGGATGACTACTAAAGTAGTGAGTACAAGGGTAATAAAGAATGCTTACAGGGTGTTTCAGCAGCAAGAACTGCAGGGTCCTCATAGCCAGGGGTTTTAGCTTTCTTTGACCAATAGCAGCCCATTAATAAACCAACATAATTCACTCACAGAGTTCCTGAACAATCAGCAAGACAAAATGTAAGTACTCCAATTTTTTTATATTACAAATGTTAGCAGCAAAGCAGAGATAACAATGACATTCAGATAATAAAATTTTATCAGATCCAAAAACAAAAATGTACAGTGTTTGAAAACACTTCAAACACACACCACTTCAAAATGATTGACATGAGAAAATAAATTAAGCATATACAGATCAAAGTCAGTTCAACAAGACATGAGGAAGTCACTTTGATAAATTAGTGAAACCCATGAGTAACAAACACATATCCTTGAGTTCTGCCACAAGGAGTTGGGGGCAAGGAAGGCGCTTGATATTTAAAGGAGTAAATACAAAGATGTAGTGGAAATTTCAGAATCTTCCAACAACCCAAAGATTTCCATATATTATAAAGACTCAATACCAATACAGCTTATCTAAGCAGATCTGACCATCCATCCCTAGGGCCTAAGTAATTTCCCATTATATATATATATTCTAGGAACTCAAGCTGTCAAACACGCATTTTCCTACTAAAAACAAAAGCCCACACATATGTGTTTAAATACATGAAACCAAAAGAGTGTTTTTAAAAAAAAAAAGTTTGCTATAATAACCCAATTAAAAATTGCACTAACACGAAATTCAGCAATAAAGCCTTCAAGTTTGAGTGCTAGAACCACTACAAGTGATGTTAGAAGTAAAAACTGAGAACGATAAAAAGGCAAGACCCTCTGAATCTGGCTTGTCTTCCTGAGAAAAGGATTACAAAAATAGATATGGATGAGAATTATATTTATCTTCTGGCACGAAAATCACTTTCGTTTCTCGGGGCCACAGACCTAATACAACCATATTCAGATGATATATTGGGAACCAAATCCATTAAACTCATGGCATTCAGCATTGCATTATCTTGTCTTCCTCATTTTGCCTGGGGACCTAATAGTTGGTAAAGATAACCTGGTTACAGAGTGAATTTTCCAAAGCTGATTGAACGAATTTAAAAGTTAAGTTGACTGACCCAACAACTAAAAGAGTCATTTGCATATAATCAAAATTTGATTAGAACTATAACTCAAGGATAATCCAGAAACTTGACCATTCATTGGCCATCAAAAAAGGTGATTCTTATAAGAAGAAAAAAGATGAATTAAAAGGTAATTTAATTGGATTCTGGGAATATGCATGAAACGAAAGGAATACATAATACCTGAGCTGAGTATTGAGAATATTCATCACTTGTGACCAAATAGAAACAGCTTAGAAACATAAAACATGGTATTCAAACCTTCCTGAATTTTTTCGGCACCCAAAGGAAATCCAAATGAAACGAATATAATTATAGCAAACAATAAGCAGAACCCAGTTCCATGAACTAAACAAATCCCCCGAAAGTAGAACAAAATATCAATCTTGATTCAAGAATATGAAGAAACAAAAAAGAAAGTTTCAAGCTTGGAAGAGAAAGACGAGAGATGACCTGTGAGTTTAGAGTGGTATTCTGAGACGTAAGAATCTAAGATGTTTTTAATGCTTTGAAGTTGAACTTTTTCTCCTTGTTTGCAAAAGAAATCTCTGTAAAAAAAAAGGTGGGAAAAATCTTAGTTTTCTCAGCTTCCCTATGTTACTATGTATGGGGCTGAGCAAGTGTTCCGTCTCTCTCTGAAATTGAAGAGCTTTGCTTGTTTAGTTTTCAACGTTCGCTTTCTATATGCCAACTGTGGCTGCAACCGACTCAGATCTGACCCCACCGCATCTGCACAAGCTCTGACCTTGTTTTCTTTTTCTTTTTTCTCTTTTCACTTTTCTCTTTTCTTTTTTATTTAAAATAACATTTTTTTGCCATCAAACGACGATTTGATCATGTAAAACCACGATTTGATCAACTTTGTAAGAATGAAGCCATAGTTTCCCAGTTTGACCATTCAGTCAGCAAAGTGGACACGTGTCAGTACGTCGCATTTTGATTGGATTATTGAATTTCAATATATGGCCTCCTCCATGAATGATGTTCTTCTGGATCCATGGAACAATCAGCATGCTCTTGGATTTTTCTGCCATGAAAACAATGAAGAAGTCGGTATCAATCCAAAAATGTATCAAGTATCATCTTCGATCCTGATGTAAATGGAACACCAAACCTCCTCATTATCCAAATTAGGGTGGCCAAAATTTGTTGAGTTGGACGATAAGTAGCAAATTATATATATTTTTTATACAGCAAATTATAAGTTGTATGATCACTATCACCATTATTATTACACTTGAACTCATGGTGGTGATCACTCATACAGTCATGCTTCAAATTAAGTGGGTCCCATTTTTATTTGTGGTACCAAAACCAAACTATTTGACTGTCTTTATTAAAGAGACTTGTTCATCAATAAATAAATAAATTCCAAGAGAGTTTGATAATATTTTGTGTTTATTGGCGGCAAAGGAAAATAAAATAAATACAAGTTAAAAATATAATACAAATCTCACGTGGAGCTTCATACACGCAGGCACAAGATACGCTGGCTGAGTCAATCCTTAATCTGCCGCCACCTTATGTCGAGTACGCATGATCGCAGCCCCCCACGTGTTCTTAGAACATTCCAAAGTCTTTTTAAGCCATCATGGGTTGTGCTATTCTGCTGCACATCTAGAACCATAATTCAATCGCCACCGTACATCACCTTTTCTGGCACTGGCAGACTGGCAGTCTGGCAGTCTGGCGGTCTGGCAGTGATTGTGAAAATGTTAGCAGATCAACGTCGGTCCACGTGAAAGAAAACCATGCACTGTTGATGAAATATGACCAATCAATATTCCGAACCAATAAAGCTTGTCGCACAATTATTCATTGAACAACTGTATCAAGACAATGTGACTCATAATTTGGGGACATTATTTTTTGGCCCATAGTTTTGTAAAGCACTTAGTGCAAATAAATAAAGTTTTACAAAAATTATATATAATTGGCAAGCTTGATCAGTTATTCTGTCACTCTACACGTCACGGGAGATAAAATCAATTTTATTTTCTTTCTACGATAACAAGTGATACAAGAAAGTAGAAAAAATGCATATTAAATTGTATCAAATCTAATTGAAATCTGATGGGTTTGACATTAAGGGGAAGTCTAAGCAAAAAAAAATTAATTAGGTCGTATTTAACAAACGTGTTTACAAGGAGATTTCTAACGTATTTAATCGGTCTTCCAATACATTTCACATCAACAAAACTAAAAAAGTATATTTAAAAGAGGTCTTAATGAAATTATTAGCAGCAAGGCAAGTCCAACGTTTAAATAATAATTGATTATAACTCCTTGTCTTTTAAGGCAAGATATCGTGTTGTAATTTGTAAAGAGAAAATATATATCCACCAAGATTAAGATATTTGACTTTCATAAAAGGCTTACATATACTGATATTGATTGATTGCTTTGCTAATGAGAGTCTGCTGTGCCTTGAGGAAAATAAAATGAGAGTACAAAGGGACGTCAAAATAGCACACGTTAAATGGTGGTGATTGTATATTTTAAGTTAAAATGGTGAAAACAAATGTCAAGCGGTTTGTTTTGAATTTTTCTCTCAAAATAAATTATATATGGATTTTTGTATAATATGTGATGCTAAAATGAACTTATTTATAAAAATCTTATTTGTTAGATTAGTCGGTTGAACTTAACTTGGAGCAATTTTCTTGGTGTGAAACATTTTCTACATTTGTCGCATCTTAATTTGAGCAAACTGGTAAAAAAATACAAAAAGAAAATGTTACTCATCACGTAGACATGTACATTTATTTAATAAAGATGCCTAATTCACGGTTCACAATTTACACACTTCATTGCCGCATTAAACTTGTTAATCCCTCCCCTCATGAGATACCTACCTGCTCGCCATATACTTGTCAACCACTTGTTCCCAATTTTATTCATTCAAGTCCCTTTCGCTTATAGGTAGTAGTCTCAAGTCGTCTAATTTTATTTAATTTAATATTTGTTAATGTTTTTTTTATGAAAAATATTTATTAATATTTGATCTGATCAACCACAGACAAATTATTCTTAAAGGGACGTGATCAAGAAAATATATATATCATACGGATTTTTTTTCAACGATCCAAATCATCTATTTTTAAAGTCTTCATTCAAAGATCATCTTTGCAAAAAATTAGACAAATTGAAAATCATTAAGACATCTAATTGAGACCAACAAAATCAATAAACATGGTACTTTAAGAAAGTACTTAAATTTGTATCGGATATTTGAGCGATTCCTCAATAGAAGAGAATATATTTACAATTCCTTGTCCATTTGTAGTACTGATTTTGGAGTTTTATCAAAATGGGCCTATTGTTAATTTCTAAGTTGAAGGCCCACTTTACCAGAAAGCTCATTTTGCTTGCTTGCAAGAACTCAGGGAGAAGAAGATCCATAAACTTTCTGTGAGTCCATTTCATTCTCTGAGCACAATAAGAATAATATTGCCTTAGCAGTTAGCACCCCTTCTTCCATTTTCTAAACCCTCTCAGAACCCCTCATCCTCAAATCCTTCTCAACCTGAAAACCAAAGCAATGGCTCTCTCAAAACCCACCTTCCTCACTCACCTGAGAACCCTAGCCAAGCCCCCCAACTGCCACCACCCAACCCCACCACCCTCCTTCATCTCCCTTCGATTTCTCTCCTTCGCCACCCCAGAAGAAGCCGCCGCCGAACGACGTCGTCGCAAGCGCCGCCTCCGCATCGAGCCCCCTCTCTCCTCCCTCCACCGCAACCAGCAACAACAGCAACAACAACAACCCCCAAAACCCCAACAAAACCCTAACGCCCCGAAACTCCCCGAGCCCGTTTCGGCTCTCTCCGGCAACCGCCTCAACCTCCACAACCGCATTCTCACTCTCGTCCGCCAAAACGACCTCGAGGAGGCCGCGCTCTACACTCGCCATTCCATCTATTCCAATTGCCGGCCCACCATTTTCACAGTCAACTCTGTGCTTACCGCTCAGCTTCGCCAGTCCAAGTACTCTGACCTCTTGTCCCTTCACCGCTTCATCACCCAGGCCGGCGTTGCCCCCAATATCATCACTCACAATCTCATCTTTCAGACTTATTTGGATTGCCGCAAGCCCGATACTGCTATGGAAAACTACAAGCAGTTGATCAATGACGCCCCTTTCAACCCTTCCCCAACTACTTACCGGATTTTGATCAAAGGTTTGGTGGATAACAACAAGCTGGACAGGGCTATGGAGCTCAAAGAGGAAATTGATGTCAAGGGTTTTGCGCCGGACCCTGTTGTTTATCATTATTTGATGGTGGGCTGTGTGAAGAATTCGGATTCGGATGGAGTTTTTAAGCTTTACGAGGAGTTGAAGGAGAAGTTGGGAGGGGTTGTAGAAGATGGGATTGTCTATGGGAACTTGATGAAGGGGTATTTCATGAGAGGGATGGAGAAGGAGGCCATGGAGTGTTATGAGGAAGCTTTGGGGGAGAGTTCCAAGGTGAAGATGAGTGCTGTGGCCTATAATTCGGTTTTGGATGCCTTGAGCAAGAATGGTAAGTTTGATGAGGCCTTGAGGTTGTTTGATAGGATGGTCACCGAGCATAACCCGCCGAGGCGTTTGGCTGTGAATTTGGGAAGCTTTAATGTGATGGCGGACGGGTATTGCGCGCAGGGGAGGTTTAAGGAAGCCATTGAGGTTTTCAGGAAGATGGGAGATTATAGGTGTAGTCCGGACACCTTGTCATTCAATAATTTGATTGAGCAATTGTGCAAGAATGGGATGCTGAGTGAAGCTGAGGAGCTTTATGGAGAAATGAGCGACAAGGGAGTGAACCCGGATGAATTTACATATGTTTTGTTGATGGATACTTGTTTTGAGAAGAATAGGGCTGATGATGCAGCTGAGTACTTTAGAAAAATGGTTGATGCCAAACTGAGGCCAAACTTGGCTGTTTATAATAGGTTGGTCGATGGATTAATTAAGGTAGGGAAGGTTGATGAGGCAAAATCGTTTTTTGATTTGATGGTGAAGAAGCTCAAGATGGATATTCCGAGCTATCAGTTTATAATGAAGACATTGAGTGAGGCAGGGAAATTGGATGAGGTGCTTAATGTGGTCGATACCATGTTGGATGATGATGGGGTTGAATTTAATGAGGAGTTGCAGGAGTTTGTTAAAGGGGAGCTGAGAAAGGAGGGGAGAGAGGATGAAGTGGGGAAGCTTATGGAGGAGAAGGAAAGGCAGAAGGCTGAAGCTAAGGCTAAGGAGGCTGAGGCAGCAGAAGCAGCAAAGAGAAGTGCAAGAGCTGCTGTGTCCTCCTTACTTCCTGCCAAGTTGTTTGGGAATAAAGAATCTGAGACAGGGTCTACGCAGGCCACTGAAAATGCAGGTAAAGCTGCCTCGACACAACCTGCAGAGGCTGCCACAGTGAGTGGAGATGCACAAGCTGGTCAGGAAGAGCATGGCGGAGAAGGTGGTGAAAATTCAGCTCAGGTAGAATCCAAAAGTGATGGTGCAACTGAGCAGGTATTGGCCTGATTGTAGATCTCTGGTGAAAGTTATTCCATAGCTCTAGCTAAATATGTAATCAGGGTTGTTGGAAATGGCCGTAGATCATTTCTCTAAATTGGAATTAGTGGGTCTATGATATTGAGGCTTACCGAACTTGGTTGAACTCCCACTGTAGAAGCAAGTATTTGAGTTGTATGAACAGTTGCTTTCAAACAAATTTTATAAGCCATGTCCTTGGATTGTATTAATGGGAAAAATTTGATTGGTATCCACATGAGATTCTTTTTTTGCTGCTACTAAGAAAGAATGATGAAGCTATTATCAGACTAGGATATTTCAAAGTAGATGCTATTGAAGTTTTAGGAATGTAACACTATAAAATAATGATATTTTGAGTTCGTTTCACATCGACATTATTGCAATTGTTGAGATAGCCCGTATATAAATAAGATCGCCACAATATTTAGCTAAAAGAGAAGAAAAAAATAAGGGTTGCTTTGCAAGCTTGAGATTCAATCCAGCCATGGCTAGTCAGTAATCACTGAGAGGAGAAAAACTTGCATGTCACGGGGATAACACATTCCTAACCAATCACGTTCGCGTGATAAGGATTACACATGGCGGAACATGATTGGATGGGGATAGCATTGCTATCCCTTTGTTCTTCTCCGCTAAGAGAGGGCTTTACGATTTTGAGCAGGGGAGGCACTGTCATCTATGAGTTGAAAAAGGCAAAAGGAAAAAAATAAAATTGCAAAACATTAGTGACGACTGATTTTTCCTTGGATCATTAGTCATATAACTTAAAAGACAAACTGCAACTAGAGATAATGTAGTTGTGTCTTGATTTACAACCATGTTAATAGTAGTAACGTTACCAAGCAAAGTGAAAAGGAAGAAAACGCCTGCTTATTATACAATTTTTATTAAAGCTGAAACTTCCAAACTCAAGAATCCAGTCTATTACAACATACCAGGAAAAAGACGGCAGAGGTACAACACACAACAGTGTCTCAAACAACAAACTGTAAACTTTCAAAATCATTTGTCTTAGCTACATAGGTTTGGTATGCACACCCCAGCATCTGGATTTTGCTGTTCCTTCCATATCCTTCCAGTAACTCTCAGCTTCAGCTCCTTCCTATCTCCCCCAGAGAAGAATAAAGCCATGTTTCGTTGGATAATGAGACCATCATGGCTATCCCTGACCTTTCGGTGGCTATCGCGGATACTTCGAGGGGTCCCCTCCCATATGAGTTTCCTGCCATTTGCTCCAACCTCTAGGCTGTAGCTGTAGTTCCGAGCCTCATTCTCATCACCCATAAAACGTAGAAATGCCATATAAACAGGTGCCATGCCAAGCTGGAAGGCTTCAAAATGAAGGCAAAAGTATTGACCAAAACAATGGAAGACCTGACATGAAAAGCAGATTCGGTAATGTATGTTGAGAAGGCAAAATATGAACCCTAGCATGCAGGCACTCCTGGATAAAAGGCATACTGTTCTACAGCATATATAATTTGAATGGTGGGATGGACTGCTGTTGATTTAGCCACATCCTCCAACATGCTACTTACCGAAAACGAATTAGGTGAACAACTGCATGCAAAACGAATCTAACTTTCTAGTTTTTCAACCAGTTTGACAAAAGAGGATTTGAAGAAAATCAAATGAATGGGTTTTCACACCAAAGAACAAAAGAAAACATGGCATTTCACTTTAACCTAAATGCCATATGACACTTACTGTAAGCATCCAAGTGGCATTCTCTACTTCCCGAGGATTTGACTTCACATAGCGATGATTGAATGTGCATCCTGTGTGCATGTCCACCTTGTGATCATCCCTAAGATGGGAAACGAGGAAAGGGATATCCCCAACAACAGAGCACTCCGATCCAGCATATGGGCAATTGTACGGTCTGAAGTTGCACACTGACTCATGCTTTAGTTTGCTGTAGTATGGAAAGATCTCTGGGCATCCCAACGAGTAATACTTGCAGGGTAATTCAAGTGACTCAGCCACCTTCTCCAGTGCTAAACACCGAATGTCTCCAAGCTCCTGCCTACAAGTGGGGCAGCGATTGTGCACCCTTGTTTTACAAGTAGAACACAGTGTGTGGCCATTGTGGCACTGCAAAAGAGCAAATTCAGTTTTAAGAAACAAGGCTCGGTTCATAAGAACTATGATAACCATCATAGGTCTCATGTGAAATTCAAATTTGATATCAAAACACCTACAATATCGACCTTTTTAATATAAAAGAAAGAATATTCTGCAAGACCCCCACGCCTCGTGTCAATGCAAGGAAAACTATGGTTCAGACCAAAGTAAATAAGCATATCCAATTATGCATGCGTGTGTGTGCATGCCAAGGAGGACTTGAAAAGATAAAAGTTTCAGCTACTTAAATGGCACATCCTTAGTGAGGATCTGTGTTACTCCAATTTTTTTTCACAACATTGGATTATAAGATTGTCGACACGTAACTTGGTCCTTTTTTAGTAGGACTGGGATCTTTCAACACATATATGCCCCGGAAACACCCTTCCTGCAGAGTCATGGACTTGCATTTGACAAAGTTAACTAAATTTTGTAGATTATCTAGTTAGCACATTCCATGACTTTAAATACTAAATCAACATTGCTTGGATCATCTACTCAAATCATTCATAGACTCTGAAAGATACCTGAACTAGCAAACAAGGCTCAATCATACAAGCAAAATCCAATCACCGTTCACCAGAACGGTATACCACCTACCCAAAATCCTAAAACCAATACTCTATTCTTTTTTCTTTTGGTGTTAAACAAAAACTATTCAAAGACCAGTTCCACAAATCCAATTAAACAACCAATTCTCAATAGAATGAAAACACAAATATGTCAAATTAATCAATTTATTCGAAACCCCATTTTTGATATCCACTCAAACCCACCAAACGGCCATCAAATTCAATAAACAGAAATGCAAACAAAATCCAGTTCTAGGCAACACAAAGCATAAGAGAGAAAAAGGACCTGATGGATTGGTGGGTACATGGAATTGGTGCAGACGGGGCATTCAAGCAACTCGTGGACGCTGGTGGCCGGAGCAATGGCGGTGGGGCCGGGAATGGTGGTGTTGTTGGTGGCATTGCTTCTTGGCTTGGAAAAGTCATGGTGGTGTTGATGAGGATGAGGATGTGGGTGAAGAGTGTTATGGTGTTGATGGATCTCATCCTCATCAAGACCATCTGAGGACGAGACACATTCGATGCTTTCCAAGTCCATCCCTTTCCTTTTTAACACCCCCAAAGACCAATTTTTACCAAACCCAAATAAAAGAAATGGAAAATCATCCAATACCCACTAATCAAAATCCAGAACCGAACCCATAAATCGTAAACGATTACCGGGTTTCTCTCAGACCTTCCTTCCCTTTCTTTTCTGGGAAATTTCAGAATAAAGAAGAAGAGAAATAAAAAGGAGGGAGGGGGAAGACGGATTGATGGGATTCCAACCCCCTCTCTCTGTGAAAAAGAGGTTCTTTTCTTCTCCGCTCCCTCTCTCCCTGTGTGAGGAGAGAGAGGAGAGAGAGGGATAAGGCTCACCGTTGATTCAGAAAATCATTTAGGAGGTGGATTGAAATCCGACGGCTGATAGATTATGTGTTATTTGTTTAAGGGTATGCGGTTTCTTTTTCTTTTTTCGTTTTGAAAATAATGCGGTTTTCGTCGGGAGGAGTTTAATACAAAAATGTCATAACGACTCACATACATACGGTTCTGTCTTCTGTTCTGCACTTTGAACCACACATGTGACACGTGGCTACTTTGCTCTTTTTCTTCCGAAAACACGTTGATTGCTTCTTAAATTACACACGTTAATTGCTTCTTAAACAAGAAATATTACACACATAAGAGTGGATGGCAAGTGATTCTGTTAAGCATTCAGAAGTGACTTTGTTGGTTAAACAGGACCCGAAAATAGCATACAATTTTTAAGGTGCTGGGTAAGCATACAATTTTCAACTAAGATAAGAGACCCTACGAGAGAGAGGTTAGTGAGAATCTGGGTCTGAATATGATAACTATTTCCAATTAACAAAGAAGCATACATTATACATATACATCCTGATCCTCAACATGACTGAACCCAACCCTTGTCAGGAACTCTAAATAACGCTCATCTGATTTATTAAATAAATGTTTATTATGTACAAGATTGGGATACAAATAAGTTCCAAGAAAAAGCTAAGTTACATGCTAGCTACAACAGAAGAAAGCTCTGTCTCCACCTCAGGCTCTCCATCGGACGACCCCTCCGTGGTTGCAATCTGCCAGACAAGAATAAAGCATTAGCATCTAAATTCCCTAGGAGGTAAATTGGAATTAGGATTTAGTTGACAAGATACATGCACATTGGCAATACGCACCTGCACTTCCTTGGCCTTATTTTGTGAAAGATAGTGATCCAATGCACCCTTGCCATAGAGGATTTTAGCTCCACTACCCTGGGCCTCTGATCCAACGGCCTCTTCATCAATTACAACTGCATCTATTATGTCGTCACCAGCTCTAACATCAGGAATCTGCAAAAGATTTGAAAAGAAATCAATCATCCATAGCAGACTGTTTGGAAGCAAATGAATTCTTCAGTCCATTCTTGTAAATAAATTCAACTACTTGGAACAGAATATCAAATTGCATAAATCAATGCTCATTATGTCCCAACTGCCTTTGCCATAAGAATGGCGATGATTCCATGTTAGTCTGGTAACTTTAACATAGGACCTCCGCTTGTAAAGTTTATCTCCAAATCCTTTTTGCACGGATTTCAAAATACACTCTATTTTAACATTCCAAACATGAGAAGAAAGATTTACATGTCTAATTTGAATAATTGGATTTAAGAAGAAGTCATTTATAGATGCAGATTTGCACCAAAAAGAGGCAAGATACTCCTCTCACTCTTTTTTGGCTCTAACGTTGATGGCATACAAACTACCAGCAGGAAATTTCATTTGCACTTTGTATACCAGGTCGAGAATGCTAAAGAAAGGAGAAGTGGCAGTACCTCATACATGGCATCCATCAATATATTTTCTAAAATTGCCCGTAAACCACGAGCCCCAGTGTTTTTTGATATTGCTTTTCTAGCAATTAATCTCAAGGCACTTTCTGTGAAATGCAGTTTGACCTGAGAGAAGTAAAGCATAAACAAATTTAGATTAAAAAACAATCATGATTGTGGACCATGGAAGTGAGAGAATTACATAGGACAACAGACTCTGCAAGTCGAACATAAACAAGCAACGATATCATTAGAAGTGCACAAAACCAAGATGTTGAACAAACAACCTGGAACTGTGAATGCTCTATGCAGGGCCAGAGAAGAATTACTTACACCATTCATTCGGAACATCTTCTTGTATTGTTTCCCTAGGGCATTTTTTGGCTCTGTTAGGACCTACAAAACATCTTTTCTGTTAACAAACACATTGACAGTACATTTAAAAAATAACATTAAATAGACTCCGACAAAAAGACAAGTTCTTGTAAAAGCTATGAGTGGGCATTTTGAAGCTAGAAAAAGTAGACCATCACATCAACAAAAATATACTCATGCCAAATATTTTTCCTCTCAAAAGGGAGAATATTTCAAATAACTTATTCAGAAGCTCAGTTATGCATAATGATAGTTGATACAGTTCATTCATCCTGCCATCTCATTGATTCTAATATGAATAATTAGTGGTCATTCCATAAAGACTATTGCTGAGATTAGAAATGGTTGTGTAAATGACATTTTCCACAAATAGATGGCAGACCTGTTTGACAGAAAGAAAAGGAACACAATGTAATACCTGAACTAATTGATTTTCGGTTAGTGCTGACAAACTGACAAGGATGGGAAACCGGCCAACAAATTCAGGTATCAAACCATATCGAATAAGATCACTACTTTCAACCTGTCAAGGAAACCAGTTTTCATAGAGTATAAATTTCTAATATAAAGCATGGTATTTATTAGAAACAACTGGAATTTCTTATCAAAGGATTGAAACAGAAAAGGAAGCCTACATAAGCTGTTACGTGTTAATTCAAAACTGATGGGAACTTACAGTCTCCAATAAGGATGATGTAACAGCAGCATCTGTAACACCACCAGTCCTCATATTTGCCCTAACCGGAGCACCAAACCCAATAGAGGAATCTTGGCGTCTGTAAGACAAGCAAAAGGCATACATTTAGAGAGAGAGAAAGAAAAACAAAAGACGGCATAATTTCAGTGTTAGGATAACCTTTCTGAGATTGTTTTCTCCAAGTCAATAAAGGCACCCCCGCAGATGAAGAGAATATCCTTTGTGTCAATCTGTGAAGAAACATGGGGTACAAAAGAGTAAAATTACGAACTGATTTTCAAGGTTCTACCCAACACTTGACAACACCGAAAATCAGCTAATCAGAATACAGGAAGAACCCAAATAAGCTTATTTTGTGATCAATACATAATTTTATTCATGAGCTAGTACATAAACAGTTTACTACAATATGAATATGTAGGTAACTGAGACATTTATCTTAAGCCACTGATATAAACAATATGAATATGGAGGTAACTGAGACATATATCTTAAGCCACTGATATACCTGAATATTTTCTCCTCTAGGGTGCTTTCGAGCTCCCTTCTCAGGAACATTCACAATCTAGATCAGAAAGAACACCTCAGATCAGAAAACAATGAACTTCCAATATTGGTTATAATCTTTCAATGAATCCAAGTCATAATGAGTCATTTATATCCAGAGACGGGTCCTGACCCAGTCTTAACCAACATGCCATCTCCATGATTCCCACTAGTACTAGTGCTAACAAATTATGTAAAAGGTGCACTTACTGTCCCTTCCAGCATCTTTAGTAATGCCTGTTGAACACCCTCTCCAGATACATCTCTACTAATATTTAGGCTCTCAGCCTGCAAAATATGAGCAGATATTGGAACACATAACAGAGTAGTAAACCTCTCCCACAGAGAGAGAGATAAACATACAGAAAGGTAAATGAACCTTTTTGGTTATCTTGTCAACTTCATCAATATACACAATTCCCTGCTGTGCAGCTGCTACATTATAATCAGCAACCTATCATTGAATAAAGATGCACATGGATGACCTTGAGATTACCAACCGTAATAACCATATAAGTAAATAACATAGATGAACTAGTTACTCATAAACACAAAATAGAGACCTCCAAATTGAGCATAGGGGATCAATTCACAAAATCCAGACACATCCAAATACAAAAGAAAATATACCGTAAGGAGCTTGTATAAAATTGACTCCACATCTTCCCCGACATATCCTGCCTGCAAGGAACAACAAGGTGTCGCGGCCATCAGAATAAGAGGAACATGCAATTGAAATCCACACTGAACTCTTATAATTCTCATAAACATCGTTAAGAGAATTTTAGACAAGAACCTAAATAAAAAGTGATGCATGTATGTTGAATATTCTTGAGATCATGAAAGCCAGTTTCTCAACAAAGCATACAAGGCTGATCATTGCATAATACGTAGTGACTTAAAATAAAAAGGAAACATAACCACTGACTGTATAAATGACCAACAAAGAAAAACAAAACTTTCCTGAGTTAATGTTGTTGCATCTGCAATAACAAAGGGAACATTCACAAACCGTGCCAAGGTTTTGGCAAGTAGTGTCTTCCCTGTCCTTGAAAGAGCATGAAAGAGAACAAGTGAGACCGGTCACCAAAAGAAACTTACTGATGAAAACATAAAAGCAAACAATGAAAAGACATCCAACCAAGAAATCATTAAGGACACAAATTTCCAGCAGTATTCCAGGATAACTATAAATTACCTGACCCTGTTGGCCCCATTAGAAGAATGTTACTTTTTTCAAGCTCCACTCTATCATCATCCATTGCATCTACTTTGCTGTTACCTGAATCTCCTGCAGACCTAACTTCCAAAGAAGCAGAATGTTAAAAAGCCAAGTTCTAAATGTTTAAAATTAGGAGTGAGCGAGCATCAGTCAGTTCAGTCAAGTTTTGAGAGAAACCAAAACTAAATTGACTGTCAATCTCTCTGACTTACAGCTATGAATTATATTAATTGCAACTGCACTTATGCGACAATTCCAGCTCCAAATTATTTTTCTTTATATAAAATATAGACTCAAACAAGATATGCATATAGATATGGAGCTGACCACTTCTGCAGGGACTCATGATATATCCTCTTATAGTGATTGTAAACAGCAACAGATAGTACCTGAATCCATTGAAGACAAAAATTCAGAAGAATGGCAGAAACATAAAATTTCACATACGATGATAGGAACTACTCCAAAAGAGAAGCACAAAAAAGAAAGAAAAAAAAAATCACCTTCTTGGCCTGCTCTTGCCCAATTACAAACTTGTCAAGCCCTTTACAAATTTCCTTGGGTGTAGGAAAATTGTTACCCAAACTGGAACCACCCCAACACTCATCCTTGGAATTGGACTCAAACCCACCACCCGAACCAGGGCTCGGACCACCACCTCCACCGCCTCCACGAACCAAATTCGAGCTGGGACCGGCCCGAACCACAATTCCATCACCGGACCATACCTCGGGTGGGTCTCCTTGTGAGGAAAGAACACTATTACACCTACTGCTGCTCAATTTTCGTCCCCAATTCCTATCACTATTCTTGCTAGTTTTCTGGGCAACTCTCGGGCGATCGAAAAATTGCGAACCCTTTTCAACAAAGTTGAGCGCCACGGGTTTGAACGAAGTGAAGTGGTAGGGAGTGTTCATGAACAAGTCTTCATTTTTGGTACGGTGCGCATAGTGAGAATTGACAACTCGACCGGCATGCATGTAATTGAAGACGAAGTATCTGAATTGAGAGACGGTAGACGACACAGTATCCCTGGAGGGTTTGGATCTGAGCGCCGCAGCCATTAGGGCGTTACGTGTTCTGGGAAAACGAAGGAAAATGGAGGCAAATTAGGAAAGGAAAATCGGAGCTTTAGAGTTCATAGATAGATGGGTCAAAAATAAAAACTTCAACAGGGGCTTGGCAAAACTGACGGTGAATTGAAATGGGTTTATCTAAGATTTTGTGAATATCATGTATGGTCGGGGAATTTTGATGATGGAAATGAAATTAGAAGAAGAGTACACGGAAAGGAACCAGAGATATTTGAGCTCGATTGTAATAACTTGCAAGAAACAAGGAAAAGTGAAAAACGAAAATATCCGAATATCAGAACAGGGCTTAAGGTTTACTTGAATATCCACTTTACCAAAGCTTTAAGCTGGGTTTTGTTTTAAGGTTTTAAGGCATGTCGTTCCAACTGAGAGGATAAAAATGTAATTTAACTAATAAATAATTTGGTCAAAATCATATATCCCTCCAAAGGAAATCATAATGTTAGATTATTGGACAAATAGCATTAGAGTAGAGATGGGACACCAAATCCAATTGTTATCTCAATTCAATTTACACACATTACCCATGACAAAAGAGATAAAAAAATGAAAGTAATAATTCAAAAGGTACAATTATGTGCAACTATGTCCACTATAGAAATAATAAAGGAAAGAAAGAAAAAAGAAAAAATTCGTTAACATTAATAAATACTTTAAAAAGAGTAGAGGTAACGGCTTCGAGCATGGTTAGCTCCAATAGTGTGACAGGCGGTGTATACAAGGCCCACATATCTTTCCGGCTAAGGAATGGGAAATAAACATTCCGTTATATTGATTGAACAATTTGAACTGATTCAGTACAAATGTCAAAATTGTCATACGAAGCTCCCATATCATTTACATGAAATATAGTTCTTCCTGTACAAATACAATGCAGCAAAGTGAAGTAGGGGTTCATCCGAACATGTGTGCCTACGGCCCCATAACATGAAAATAAAGACTATGACCGAAAGAACAAAAGACCACTTCTCTACAGACACTTGGGATTTCATAATTCTAAGTTCTAAAAATGGAGAATGGTTGCAACTTCATATGCTGACAACAACCAGCATTTGTAGTCGAACAGGTCTACAACACGATAACAAGCTAGCATCTACTTCTCCAATTGGCACTTTGAATTGGAGCGGCTGCTCCTAAGCTTCCTGGCCCCGTTTAATGAACTTTAAGGTCAATGAAAACAATCAGAACCCAGTAAACAGAAAACAAGAACTAATAATCATAACGACTATACAAACGCTGCAGATAATGTTAGTGAAAGACACTAGACAGTTCTTTTTCCCACAGAAAAAAGGCAAAACATAAATATGCTGCACGGGAAGAAATCTACCAATTCCATTGAAATCCATGAACACATGGCTTATTTTGTCATACATGTAAAAAAGATAATGAAGTCGAGAGTAAGATCATTCTCACTCACTTTACAGACATCAGATTTTTGGCTTCACTTATAGCATCACTTGCTGCATATAGAGCCATCTTCTTCACCTGAAAACAGCAAAATCTCTAAAGCCCTTATGCATTCTACCGAGTACCATACAAGATTAAGAATGCAACATTTTCTTTTAGCGCAGGTAAAATTCAATAAAAATCCACAGAAATATATAAGTTCGTCCTAACCAGCTAGTTATCCTGTACAAGTTTAACAAGTCAGTAGCATATTCTTAAATGGCATTGTGTGCTCAATTTTAGATATGAAGATAGATATATTTTGGTTGGACAGAGAAGCATCATCTCACTCTTGAAGCTAACAATACATAACAAGAAAATCATATAATCATATGGCTGAGAAGCCAACTGCATGCTTTACTAGTGATTCAACCTATTACGCTCAAATAAATGAGGCTGCAAAACCATCTAATGACATGCTGTATAAACAATCCAAAATAACACTACCTCCAATTTATCTTCCTTGGATCTATGGTTTTCTGGAAGCAAGCGAAACTCCTCTGTTAACCGAATGCATTCTTGAACATTTTCGGGGGAAACAAAGTCAAGGGCCACTTTAATGCATGACTGAGAAAATGAGAACAGTATCAAACTTGATACATCAGATAAATACTGACAAAATAGCAGTACTAAAGAAACGAAGTCATGATAAATTGGCACATTGATGGGAGGAAACCTCACCTGCCTATTTCTCACTTGATGTGGGCATCCAGCAGGAATGAAAACAGCCTCACCAAGGTGTTGCTCAAATGTCCAAGGCTCAACATCTGAAAAAGGGTCATATTCACGGTTAGTAATGCTATTAAGTCAGAATTACTCAGTTTTACAATCCGGTTCAACATTAATGACTCGCTAAAGATATGCAATTTCTTACCAAACTCTTCCTTCAACTTCTTTTTATGCTTCTCATCTAGATAAAGCGTCTGGTCATGAATAGGATGAATAACCTGAAGCAAGTTTAAGATCAGCACATCAACTTAGAGTGACTTAAATCAAAATAATATTTGCCAAGGTGATAGCCAATGATACGCACAGAATTCACAGGGGCATTATTGATGTGGTGGAATTCTTTGTGATGCTTCAGTAGGTATTCTATTAACTTAGGTACATCTTGCCGACGAAAAATGTCCCAAACAGCACCTCCATATTCAACCTCTGAAGTATCATTACTTTGAACATTTGTGCTTGAATTTGAATCAGACTCCTGAGACTCTAAGTTGTTAATAACATTGCCTGAAAATAGCTTCCGTGAGGAATCTGCCTCATTGACAAACTTCATGTCTTCTGTCACATTAGAAGGCTCAAAATATTCTTCTTTACATGATTTTTCTTCAATTATTTCCTTTTCAGCTCCATATTTCTTCTGTAATTGGTTGATGATTTTACGCTGTCCGGGAGGAATCTTTACTTCAGTTGTGTGTGTCAGTACATTAACCTAAACAGAAATTATGAAAACAGTACCACTTCATGAGTTGATTGCATAGAAAAGCAAATGAGTACAATAGGAAACGATTGCAAATCAAGAATAAATCCAAAATTGTTAAAAGAAACAACATGTAAGCCTTAGAACATGGTAACTAAAATATCAAAATTTTACAAGGGCAATTGTGTACCGCATCAGAAATGTCACAATGCAGTTTCGTTACTGAATCACCTCTACCAAGCTCCTCCATTGATCCATAAGCGATGTACGTCTTTGGTCCCAAGTCTGGCTTTAAAACAATAGGAAGCTTTGTAGCAAGATTTAGTAAACCTGATTTGGAATGGGTATAGTCACTGAACGGAAGCATGCCAATAAATTCAGCACCGTGCCTTGGTAAACACTCTTCAAAGGAATTGGATGGAGGCCAATCCTTCAGCTTCAACATCTCTGGCCACCCATTACTATACTTACGGCCCTCTATATAGCCCTTAAAGAACTGAAAAATATTAATCTCAACCTGCAGCGCCAAATTGAAAGAGAGTTACAATTTAAAAGTGCAAAAGCGAACTTTTTCTGGAAAAAAAAAAATCAGTAAACACAAAGTGCAAGAAATTTTGTAAGCAGTCTAAACAAGGCAACTGCAGGCAGAATCACCGGTAGTGCTGTGAATGGATTATCAATACCTTATATTAAGCAGTGGAGATTAAATGTTAGCAATTACTAACACTGTGCAAAAGGATAAAGAAATAAAGAACGAATCAGATAGGATAGGAAAGAGTAAAATGCAAAATCAAGTTCAACCAGTTGAAAATTCCCACATACCTCACACCAATCCAGGCAATCAATGGCTTTAACCCTGACTGCCTCCTCTTTTAATACTTTTTTTGCCCCTATAAAAGCCCTCCACATGACCATTGGTTCCCAGCTAAGGCCAGAAGCCTTTTCACGTACATTTCTTACCACAACAGGTTCACCTCTCATCCAGTGAAACTGGAAATGCTCAATATCATTGTCTCCTAGATGAACAGCATTTGGGCAGTAGAGAGAGTTATCATGACAGTTTTCCCTATAAGCTGCCTGTCTTACTTCAGAAGCTTTTACTCCACTTCCAGCAGAACTGATAGGATGGCACAAAGAACATTCTAGAGAAAAGTCAATATCTGGTGACTGATAATTGATAGTGAGGTACTCAGAACTCGAAATTAGTTTTTCAACCCAATTAGCTTCAAAGATACGTCTCAGTTCAAGTAACTTGGTACCACAACCTCCTCGTGCTTTTGGAGGACAAGGAATCCTACCATCAGCTTCTGCTATCCAATCAGGAAAGTCAGATGACATATGATCTGTGCACCTATTTACTGGTATGGCCATGTGGCTCTGGGATACATATCTATTCCCATTTGCAGGAATATGGCTGCCATTTGAGACTGTGCCTTGACCATATGCTCCTTCGCAAAACTGCTGATGAGAATATTCTGCTTCACCACCTCTAGGCTGGCATACTTCCCTTAGTTCCGAACAACAAGTGAGACAGAGATCATAAGAACAATCAGGATTGGGGCAGCTTCTGTGGAAATTGACAATGGATGTATTGCAATTGTCACTGTTGAATTTGTACAAGGTCACAAACTTTGTACCATATGAATGAAACAATAAATACTTTTGACTGAAAAACAGGAAGAGAAAAATTTTACAATCCTCATATCTAGGACATAAAGAATGATTCACCAAGAAAATGTTATATTGGAAGAAATGAGATTCATCAAATACACAAGCACACAGCTTCAATCCTGCTAACTACATCATATGTCTTATACAATGTACATAGACAGCACAGGGTCACTGGTTTTCTTTAGTCCCAAGAATGTGAGTAAAAATAACCCCAGAAAACTATGCCACCAGTTAGGTCCAATCCTACCCAATAAGAGAATAACAGTTGACATCAAAACAGCAAAGACAGAACAGTTACTCCAAAAATCTATTCTATTTACCAACATAAGAGAACATATACATATACACATACGAATGAAATTTCTGAAAAAACAACTAATAGATAATTAGTGTCTCAATTTCAATCATCAGGGAGAATGAGATGATACCAATACACTCGATCATCATCCTCTAATATAGACCTCGTGAGATCCTCTTCTGTCAATTGGATACCTATGAAACAAGAGGGGGAAAACCTGTCCTTAAGCATTATGATTTCTGAACAGTCAATCTAGCAATTAAAGCTAAAGGAGAAAAGTATTATATTACAATACCTTGTAAACAGCCTTCCACATCTAACTCGGACCTCTGCTCCTGTTGAATATGCCTAAGGAGAGGCAGCGTCTTGCATAGCAAGTAAAGCAACTTTTGCAACTTAACATTCACATCTGTTTCTTCATTCCCAGCCTGTAAAGCAAGTACTTTGTTTGGTCCAAAAAGAAAATACATAACCAGAATTGGAAGAAAAGAAACAGAGAGAAGAAGAAAATCAACGTAATGCACACACCATCACAACTAAATACTCCTTGAGGCATATTCTGCAGTTGCAGTTACCACGACAATAAGGACAAGCAATTTCTATGTCCTTTCTTGTCTTGTCTGGGTACCTGTTCATTTATTTGAAAGTACCATCAGAAAAATTTGATGAGATTCATCTATATCAGCGATATATAAGAACATTGATATTAATTGACAATGACGAAACAAAAGCCCCATGACCTACTTCATTAATGAAAAATCTACTTTGTGCAACCAAATAATCATACATACTAGAATTAGGGAAATTCTTTATGATTATAAATTGGAGCTACTAAACTCAAGCTGAGAATCATAGCAATAGCGTTTCTCAATGAGTAGATCATTACCACTTTGCAACACAATCATAGCAATAGCGTTTCTTTCTGCAATTTAAACAAATGACAACACCTTTTCTGTCATTCCTCAAGCACTGGTGGCACATTAAACTCTCCTTTTTCCTACTGTTATCATCCTAAAAGGATAAATTGTTAGAGTAGAATGCAATAAAATATTTGAATTATTAATACCTGTAAAAGTATAAATTCCAAACGACAATCAATTAATGCATCAACGAATTTAGGACAACTCACAGATGTATCAGTAGATTTTCCTCTGTGAAAGTCACTGGCATTCAGTTGTTGGTTGTTGAACTTCCTAGGTCTCCCTCTAGGCCTGTTATGGTTATTGCTCTCTGTATCATCAGAGTTCTTCAATTGTCTCACATGAAATTCCTCCTTCAAATCCTTTTCTTTCTGATATTCTACCTCTAAGAGAGATGCCGACATTTGATGCTTCAGCACTGTAATCTTACTCAAAACTCTTCTCTTGTTCTTTGAACCCTTAGGCCGGCCTCGCTTATTCTGTGAACTTTCATCCCCACCACAAATTTTTCCAACCTTTTCTGCTTCCTGGCTTTGATCTTCTCCAACAGTAGCCTTAAGTTTATTGTTTTTTGAACCCTTAGGTCGGCCACGTCTACCATTTTGTTGGGCAACCTCATTTCCTCCTTCATTATAACCAGATGCTTCAGCAGGCATTCTCTTATCTTCCTCACCCACAAGAATAGTCATCTCATTCTCCAAACTCATCAGAAAAGTATCTTTACCATCATCATGATCACCAACTACTGTTTCACTAGGCATTCCTTGAATTTCCTTACCTAAAATATTCTTCTTCCTAGTCTTTGAACCCTTTGGCCGACCACGCTTATTCTTCACCTCGACAATTTCATTTCCAACTTTCATTTCAACAGCTTCCTTAACTACAAGAATAGACCCCTCATTTTCCAAACTCGTACACAAATCAGTCTGATATCTGCCATTCATACCACCCATTACTTCGGTAGGCACTTCCCTTTTTTCATCACCGGAAAGATTTTTCTTCTTGCTCTTTGAACCCTTCGGTCGGCCGCGCCTATCCCTTGGCTGTAAAAACTCATTTCCACCTCCATTTTCAGAAGTGGCTTGACCTGGCAATCTCCCCACTTCTTTTCCAACAAAGATCTCATTCTCCAACCCTGTTGAACAGAACACCTCAACCTTACCATCATTACCACTCATAAATTTGCTGGGGTTTCTCTGATTATCTTGACCAGAAACTTTCTTCTTCTTAGTCTTTGAACCCTTTGGTCGACCACGCTTATTCTTTGGCTGAGCTGTCTCATATCCATGTTCATTGCTATCAAAAGCTTCCTTATTCGATTGCATATCTTTCTCACCTGTAAGGACAGGTCTCTCATTCTTCAAACCTGTCACAAGAAGTGTTCTATCAGTGCCATCATTAGCACCCAGGATGTCCCCAGGAATTTCCTGATTTTCTGTTTCTACAAGCTTTTTCTTATTCTTCTTGGGATCCTTGGATCGGCCACGCTTAACCTTTGGCTGGACAAACTCACTTCCACAAGTGGATTCACCAGGCAGCCCCTTATCTCCTTTGCTTACAAGATTTGGCCTCTCATTTTCCAAACCCGTCAAACAGGCCATCAATCCACCAGTGCAATTTCTGCCCGAAGTTTCGCTTGATATTGCACTATTTCCATCATTTACAGGAATTGTCTTCGTAGGCAAACCACCTTTTTTCTTCAACTGCACAATCTTATCTCCAAATTCGTAACCACTGCACGCTTTAACTTCCATTTTCCTGTTTTGTTCACCCATAAGAGCAATCATACGTTTCTCCAAACCAAAAGGCGGAACTGATATGTCAATGCCCACAGCAACAGCTCCTGATCCTGTCGTGCCATGATTTTCCTCACCTGTAAGATTTCGCTTGATCTTTGAACCCTTTGGTCGACCAAGCTTTGTCTTTGGCGAAACAATCTCATTCCCAACTTCATTACCAGGAGTGGCTACAGCAACCAAATCCTTAGTATTTTCACCGAAAACAGGCACATCATCACTTTTATCATTGACAACATCTTTCCTTTTAATTTTAGAACCCTTTGGTCGACCTTGCTTACTCTTTCGCCTCACAGGGTCTTCTCCATCCACATTGTCAACAGGCACATCCTCATTCTTATCATTTGCAATATCCTTCTTTTTCTTGTTCTTGGACCCCTTTGGCCTTCCTTGCTTACTCTTTGGCCTCGCAATCTCTTCTCCACCCACATTGTCTCTGGAAATTCCACCCAACTGTTTAATGCCCTCTTCAGCCTCAAGAATCTTCTTCTTGTTCTTTGATCCTTTTGGCCTCCCACGCTTACCTTTTAACCGGGCCACCTCTTCTTTGGCATCATCTCCACGTCTACCTTCACCATGTTCGTCTTGACTCTCCAAAATTTTACCTTTATTTCCAGATGCATTTTCAATTAAACAGCCTTGAACTCTTTTATCATCAACATTTGCAGAAACGGCTTTACCACCACAAAACTGATCACTCTCACCTCTTAAAAGACCTCCAAGTCCACCTCTGTCGCCACCAAATAGGCCTTGAATTCCTTCACCGGCATTTTTACAAGCATATAGATCAGAAGACCCAACAACTTGGTTTCCCTCACCATCCAGCATCCCACCACCAAGTCCACAAGAATTTTCACTGCCCCAAAACTGAATGCCCCTGCCATCAAGACCCAAACCTCCATCTGGGTTCTTATTTTCAACAAACCCATATCCAAAATTGTCACAACTCAAAATTCTACCACCATTTTCAGAACCAGCTACACCGAACCCATCTTGAATTTCTTCCAAACCGAAACCTTGACCACCAAATTTGCATGCAGCTACATCAAACCCACCAACCTCAGTGTCTTGTCCATTTCCACCACCCCAGAAATTCACACCTTCACCATCAATGCCATCAATACCAAGGCCAACACTCCCACCACTCACTTCACCAAAAAGGCGCGCAATTTCTTCACCAACACTCAGACCACCACCAAACCATCCTTCAACCAGCTCACCTGCAGTGTCCTGATCCCCATTTCCCAGAATTCCGTCATTTTTTTGTCTACTTCTCTTTTGCCTCTGTTGATCCTCTTCAGCTCCACCACCATTTTCGCCATTTCCCACCTCCTCAGGAGCTTTCCTCTTCCGCTGCGTCTCTTCAGCAACCTTCTCCATCCTCCTTTGGGTCCTCACTCCTCAGCAGCTGCAGCAAGTAGACAAACCGCTTCAGCTTTTCACACAAACCAAGTTATTGCACCAAGAAATGATCAAAACCCCACCTTGGAAAATGAAACAAAACAGCCAACTGTTATCAAAGATTAGACCTTTATTAGTATTATTTTGGACATTAATTGTTGGGCCGGATGGTTGAAGTCCATTGACAAACCATCTTTTACAAACGCAGTAATTGAGAACGGTAGGTGATAAATAAATAAATAAAAAGGAAGAAGAAAAATTTAAAAAGATTTCTGGCTTTTTTTGAATGTGAAGGGACAACACTGACCCATGTGTGTCACTGAGCGACGTCATTTTCGTAGAAGCTATCAGCTAAAGACCGGCAGAGATTTTATTGTGTTTTGGGCAATCATATGATAAAACGTTAAACGTCTTGTGTCTCAGGCACTGTTCATCAGACTCATCAACTCAACTGGGAACTGACAGCTCAAATCTTTGTGAGCTCATGTACTCATGCATGGTCTCGGCTGCATCTGATCAGCCCAAGTCTTTATGTCCCTGTGATTCCTCGGATTGGAATCTTTGACTCTTAACGTCAACCAGTTACTATATATAGCAAACTTTGAAGCCGTATGAACAATTGGTTCCATGGTCTAGTGGTTAGGACATTGGACTCTGAATCCAGTAACCCGAGTTCAAATCTCGGTGGAACCTTCTTTCTTTTTTATTTATTTACTTTTTTTGCCATTTTTTAGTTTTGGCAGTGTATGAATTGAATTCAGCCCAAAGGTACTGTTTCTCTTGCAATTAGATTTACTAGCCAAGTTGACATCCCTGTTGAAGTCGCCTTCTTTTGTTTTAGGTTAACACGTGAAAATTCTCTCAAATTGGTAGCCGATTTTGTTTTGGAGCAAAGCAAGGTGCCCATATTCTACTTAAAAAGTATACTGGAAACAATTGCAAGAAAGATTAAAAAGGGGTAAATTTTACACCAAAAGAAGACAATAGCCAACACAACAAAATGTTGGCACTTATACACTACTGAAGTGATGATGCAAACATACCTTCTAGTGGTTCTTGCAAACATTTAACACAGGCAAAGTACACCAACGTCATTCAACCAAAACAAGGACGACTCAAAACAAAGCAGCATTTCACACAAGATCAGCTTTTGTTCTTCTCTTCTTCCTTCATCCTCTTCTCCCACACGCGCTTCTTGTAATCAAGCAACATTTGTGGCATCTTCACCATCAACTTGGCAGTGTTTTCCCGTTTCTCTGCAGCTATCCTGTCAACTTTGTGCCCTTTCCTCTTGGTTCTCATTTCTTTCCTTGCTGGATCATATGGCCAATCCTGTCCCGCGAGGAGCACTTCCCTTCTAATTTTAGCTCGATGACGAGCACTGATTCCAGGCGGCTTCCATGCCCCTAGATGCCAGTAACCCCACACACCCTTGGATAGCTCAGAGCTGTGTTTAGCCAACTTCTCGCGCCAGGGGTACTGGTACCCTCCAATTGTCTTTGCCACAGATTTTGCAGCTTGGCCTGCCATTGATGTAGTCTTTCGGGTTCTCTGCCAGACCACAGAAGAAGAAGAGAATACAAGTATATATCAGCAAACTCTCAAGGGAAGAATGATAAATTGATGATGGCAGTATTTATAATAATACATATATATTTATAATAATAATAATAATATATAATATTAATACAACACACAATAAAACATAAATGATCTCAAGTTAAAATTAATAAACAAAATTCCATATGCAAATCTTCATCATGAACCAAATTCCAATTAATAAACAAATTCATTATGAACCAACACCAGAGCCTAAATCTAATTAAAAACTATCCAAACAGCAACCACCACAGGTAATAAACCTACCCAAATAATAAACCATATTTCAAACAGCAACCAAGAATTTTAGATTAATTAAGCTACCCAATTAATAAATCAAATTCCAGATGCTATTGAACTAACCCAATTAAAAACAGAGCCTAATCTAATTGAAAAAAGATCCAAACAGCAAGTAAGATAATTTTATTTCTTTAAACCAAAAATACCTCCTGCAGTCGTTGACTCGTGTAAGCAGCGAGGAGCAGTAAAGAGAGATGGCGTCGATGGACTGTGGAGTAGAAGAGAAGAATACTATGGTGTCATTGGCTGCTGGTGGTGACTAATGCGAAGAAGACGATGGCGTGGAGGAGAAAGGATGGCGTCGCTGCGTCGTTGGAGGAGAAGAAGACGATGGTAAGCCGCTGAAAGGAGTGAATATGTGAGGAAACCTAGCCTCAGTCGAGAGAAGAGGATGGGTCTTTACAAAATGATGTTTTAAAATTTTAAGTTTGATCCATATTTGTTTTTTAAATTTTGCCTAAAACACAGTTTCAATAATTGTGTTTTGATCCCATTTGTTTTAAAATATTTGAAAACATGTGACAATTCTTTCATACTATATGACCCATATCCTAAAGAAGCAAACAAAACGAAAATGATAACCATACATGAAAACCAGATAAGCCTTGGTTAGATTGTATATCCTAATAGAGTGATCTATATCTTCTTGAGTGGCAAAACATGCAATGTATCAACTTTGCTACATTAAAAATCTATATCTTGCTGGTTAAAATTTTCCAAAAATCGCTAGGCTGTAGGCGGGCGGCAGAGGCCTAGCGCCTAGAGGAGTAATCGGAACCTAGAGGAGTAATCGGCCCAGGCTGCCTAGGTCGATTTTTGGAACACTGGTTGGTTAAATGAGCAGGCACTCTGAACCAAAATGCCTTGATAACAATGTTGAAGCTGTAGCTTAACATGTGAATCTAAAATCATCAAAACAGGAGAAATAAAAGAGCCGCCGTTCTTGTATAAAATCAAATGGCGCTTGGCTTCCTTATATATTGATGGATCATCAAATGGCCGCCTTCTACAGTTAGCAAACCTAACAAGAGTAATTAAATTTTCATTTTCACAATCTCCAAACAGCAATTAGGGTTTTACTTCGAGCTTGAAATTTTTACAGTAGAAAAAACAACGATAATGAAACGAAGGAATACTGAACGTTTGCGTTTGATAGAACCCTAAATCAATCATACCCACATCTTCGATCGTGAATCAAATAAAACAAAAAATGAGAGAACGAGGCAACACAATAAGCAATGAAGAATTATAAAGAGAGTAACTAGCTCACCTGGTTTCGTGATGCCGCCGAGTCAGAGAGAATGACTTCGTGATGCCGCCGAGTCAGAGAGAATGACGCAGAGTAGTGACCGGTGGGAGATAAAAATTGAAAATGAAGACTGACGAGTGAAGACGAGAAATGGATATTGCTTTGCTTTGCCTGTTCAAGTTGCAGAGGGTTTGATGGCTTTGTGCATGGGCTTGGAAAATTAATGGGCTAGCTACTAGTATTTACATGTAAATTTCATAAAATTAAAATAAAATTGATTGGACCTTATTTTTTAGACAAAAGCCCGTTTAATTTTGAATTGTGAATGACCCAAAAATAAGATGCATAACTTGGTTTGTTTTTGTCAATTATATCATATTATTGTACATTTGGTTAAGCAAATTCAAGGCTGTTGAAAGCCCTTGGTGCATACAATTTATCCACCGAAAGTTCCTTAAATCTTAATTCTGCTTCTACAAAGCCCAAACTTGAACAACACGAGCCCCTCACTTAACTCAGCAAAATGCATCTCTGTTTTTCCCACTACAATTTTCTGGCTTCATAAAACAGAGATAAAACATGACTCTCTCAGCCAGACGCTCAACCAAGCAAAGTGCTCAAGGCTCTCCCTTCCCTTCTATATGGTCTGCTGGTGCCTCGTGTACTCGTCAGTTCTCACCTTGAGGTCACTCTGCTTTGTGCTGCTGCCTGAAATTGATGCTGCCATTATAAATAAGGACCACAATTAAAAACTCATTCCCTAGGCAGGAAAATCAAACAAACTACACAGATGATTAACTATTCAACACTGGCGTGGGGGTACTCTCTAGTGCAATGGTAAGTTTATTGACTTAATGCAGTACCCATTATCTAAAGAAATTTAATGTTAATGGTATAAAAACAGGTTTGATTCTGCCAAAGGACTGAATGGAAAGAAAAAAATTATCATAGAATCCAGCAGCAGTCAAATAATTTCTTCTGTTTTTCGGGTCAACTGAAGCCACATTGCAAGTAACTTGTACAATTGTACTGCAATTCATTGTTAGTTAAAATATGTTACGGGTGTTACCTGAGTTGCATATGATGAGCTATCAGCCAGGAATTTCAGAAAATCTTGCTTCTTTCTGTCAAAATTGAACTTTGCGTTGTCCAATAATGCTTGTTCTCTCTTCATATCTTCCTGCATTTTTTCTTTTTTCCACTTCAACTCATTGATTTGTCTTTCAGAATCAAGATAGGTTTCGGGTAGGCTTGATGTCACTGACAGTTTAGGAAATCTCACATCTACATCTTCCCTAACATCAGATAAGTTTTAAAACTAAGATGTGGCAGCAAAAATTCCTGTTACCATAGACAAATAACAACAATATCTAGACAGTAAACAAGTTATCTCTTAATTAGTTTAAGTGTGTTGAAAATTCCAAAAGGCTGTAAAATAACGAATTCAATGTCATACATAGTTAGAAATAAATTTTTATTTCATTTGTTGGCAGAGCATCTTACCGGTTGCCAAGAGAAAACACACCAGTTGACCTAATCATCCCGCCATCTAAAGAAATGGCTCCATCACTTATACAAGGAAGTGCAGGAACCATATCTGCCCTTGTTTTATATACTTGCAAGCGACAGAAGAGGTTATAAAATAGAGTCTCTCTCAGGCCATGCCCACTAGCTGTGACACAAAATAAGCTTGTGCTATCCACATGGATCATATTTACAGCATAACCAAGAAAACCGGGTGGGCATTCCCCATTAGGTAACCTTGGCTTCAGAAGATCAAGCCTCCTCTGTGGGTCATCAGGTACAAATTCACCAGCATATGGTCTGCAGAAGAAGAAGAAGAAAATCTTTTGATTACATAGCTGATACAATAAAGTTTACAAATTCACCACCATATACAACACATACCTTAAATTATCAAGACAAATGACCAGAAACCGGCCTTCTAATGTCCTTCCAATAGAAGCACCAAGCCCATGAAGACCAGAACTTTTCTTTATGCAGCCTTCATTGTCATACGTTTCTAAAGCTTTGACACCTTCAAAAGTCTTACAGACAATTGACAACATAGTATCGACTCCTAAGTATTCTGATAAAAGCCTGCACATTCCAAATAAGTTGAATAAAAACTAGGTCTAGTTATAGGCCTAAGTAGACAAGGTGGATAAGATAAGGTTGGGAAGGAGAGAGCCGGAGAGGGGGTGGATTAGAAACATCTTTATGGCCAGGAGTTATCGATGTACTCATTCCACAATGACCCTGAATTAGTGGGTTCCATTTACACCTGGTAAGTAAAAACCCCATCTCTTTTGCTTCAAACTCCCTACAACTACAAAAACATGACAGAACTATGGCACCTAAACTCACCCCTCACTAGTCAAAATCACAGGACTAGTAGTAAAATGCACGGACATTCGCACGCGCACGCACACACAACCCTACTTATGAGGTTATGGCTTTTGCACAACTTCACAACTTGAGAAATAAGGAAAACAAAAAATATGAGAATTTCGACCTGCTAAGATTATCATCCTCTACTTTGCCAAGCATTGCAACAATACCAAGGACATCCTTCGTCAAGGTAAGATGGGCAGCCTGAGTACCATGACGAGTTTTCAACTGCCATAGAATGCCTGCAGCAGACTTCTCACGCTGAAGAATCTTTTTAGTTGTTTCCTCCTCACTTTTACAGAGGGAATGGTCTTCATTTTCGATTTTAGATGCAGTTGAGGTATGATACTTCCCTAGAATAACTGAAAGGAAACTCTTCAGTGGAAAAAATTATGGAAACAAATAAAATAGTGAGCAATGTATTGCAAACAGGGTGCTTATATATTTCACCTTTTTAGTTCGCGTGTTTTGAAATGAATTTATTTACACCACTAATGCAATGTATATGAAGAAGAAATTTTACCTTGCAAATCGAGAATAGAGTCATCTAATTTGTTTCTCTGAGACTTCAGAAGTTTTATGTTGTCTTCATGCTGTTTAATTTTCATCCCCATCATTTGTAAATCATCTTGAAGTTTCTGTATAGATTAGTTCTTTGAAAAGTTAGTTAGTATGATCCATCCCCGCTCAAAAAAGGATCCTCTAGCAAAAAATGACCAAAATGATGAATAACAAAAATATTGAAATTTTAAAATTTTGTTATGGTTAATTAATTACTTCAAAAGCAAATGTAAGTGAAATATTCACTATATATTAGCAACATGCATGGTAAATCAAAATATAAATGGTCTCCAGAATAGGTTCTTGTACAACCTTAGTGTAGTAGATGATGGATTCTGCTTGCGCGAATCCTCCATTTTGCATCCCATCCTTCACAACTGGACTAGTTTCTTTTTCGTCCATTTGCATCAATGCTGTTGAATCTTGAATAGATAATGACTTTGTATGATCTGAAATCTGCAAAAGGAAGATTAATTAGCATAAAAAATACAGACAGACACGAGGATGCAAGAACCTAGGTTATTTTGGGCATGGGTTTTTCTGGTCCAAGTTTATCTTGTTTTTACCATGAAGTTTTTCCAATATAAGCGGGTTCCTTAATTTTATTTCTCTCTCATAGAGGAAATAAGGTAATTAGGTGGTAAACCTTTCTTCTTGACTGTTTACTAGGCATGCTAAAATGATCACAACTAAGAAGTCATCTCCACTCACTAATGAATTCATGGAAATACAAATAAGTTTCCAAAAGAAAAAGACTTTCTAAATGCTAAATATGTTGCAAAAATCATTGCTCTCCAGTAACTAGTGGTTTCAAGCCAACAAGAAAAGGCTGTAAACATATTCACTCACCACAACAGCATGTGCCTCAAGTTCTTAAATTAGTGGCAGTCTCTACAGGGAAAATTTAGTCAACCAGCAAAAGCTTTAGAACACTAATGCCTCAGACGCCCCAAAAGATTTACACAATTCAAGACAGCACTTTTAGGCTACAAAATGCAATTGCCTCTCAAGATTCAATTTGAGAACTTAATTCAAGCAATTATGAAGGACTACCTTCCACAGAAAACTACCAATTTCATAGTACTTCTTCCAAGGACGAAATACAAAATGCAATTGCCTCTCAAGATTCAATTTGAGAACTTAATTCAAGCAATTATGAAGGACTACCTTCCACAGAAAACTACCAATTTCATAGTACTTCTTCCAAGGACGAAAATGCTTAGTTGCATGTTGATTTTCCATTCTTTCTTTTCCCTAGTGGAAACTCAAAGTGACGGCAAAATGAATTCTAGTGCAAAAAATTGAGAAAATTTAACTAAACCCAGTGACGAAAAGCTCTTGAAAAATTCACCACATAATTGAAGTTTACTTTCTTGGCAATTCAAAGCATCGAAAAACAATGGCGAAGAGAACAACGACATGCATTTGAATTACCAACACCTAATGCTGTGTGGGCCATTAGGTAGCTAAAAAAGTGCTTCAAGCGAGAAGAAAATAAAATATGGTTTGGAACTTTACAACCTAAAATATACCAAGTATTTTCTTGCATTTTCTCGGCCACCAATCAAAGAGAGGGCAGAGAGTGAAAATCAGAGAGGGACTCACCTGGTTGTTTGGTTGGAACATCTTTCTGGTTCTTTTCTCACCCGCTCTCTCACTCTGTATGCCTCTCTCCAACTCCAGCTGGTCTCCCTGGTTATTAAGAATCTAAAATTTCATTGACCTCCTTGTGGTTTCTGAAACACAAATTGGGTTGTAGTGGGCCCTATTCTCCGTCCGGAAGCAACGACCGTTTGATCAAAAGGACCGCTCACTATGGTTAGACCCACATGATCTAAGGGTCTGGAAACTAGATTACGAATAGAGTTGTTGGCATAAAGGTTAGTGGTGTGTGGTTCGAAGCCCACGATGCCGTGCCCGTGCGTGCGAGAGCTAAGACCCTATTGTCGAAATCACTTACTTTTTAAATCATCTTAATATATAATGCTTTTTAAATAAAAAATAATTTCATCATATATAATGATAAACCGAAATTATATTAGACACAATTCTTGTCCATGCCAATACCATTACCATTACTTTATGATGATGCAACAGCGTCCACAGATCTTGTCCTCGTTACTTAAGATCATTAGTGATTTCGACCACTTCATGTATGAATGAGAAACTAGGATGATATCATGTCATTTCCTCCTTTTACAGTTTGAGACATGCAAAAATAATTCATCAAAAACACACAAAATTCACTAAACACATGTCAAAATGTGATTGGGCTGAAAGTAAAGGACACAAGTATTTTCTTATCATGTCAACTATAAATACATAAATGAGCACTAGCTAGAAACTAGAAAGAGGCTCCTTCTATATTGCACTGCACTAGGTAGTCTTAATAAGCCGACGCTCCTTCACTGTTGCGAGCTCGTGCCACTTCTTGTTTTTCTTGTGGAATTTCTTTAACGCTTTCTGATGGTCTTCGGTAAATTCTTCTATGGCAGCAATGACCGCGCTCATCGTTTCCTTGTATATTTCAATCTTCTTCTTCATTACCGCAACACTCCGCAAGACAGGAAAACAGATTTCAGGATTCCTGAAGGGCAATGAACAAAAGGTCTTGTTGGAAAACCAAAAAAAACACTCTTGAAACATTAACAAGCAATGCACACTCTCAAATTGCAGAGAGAGAGAGAGAGAGAGAGAGAGAGAGAGAGCTACCCATATCCAAGAGAAACTGCTCCTGTTTGTCTTAAAATCCCACCATCCAGAGATATAGCACCATGTTTGATACAAGCACGAGCAGCTAACATGTCTTGCCTAGTTTTATAAACATGGAGTTCCCCAAAAAGAAAATAAAACAATGTCTGCCGAAGACCATGGCCTGCAGCTGTCGTCATGTGTAAATGATGCTCATCCAGGTCAACCATATTAACTGCATACCCCAAGAAACCATCCGGAGTATTTCCACTTGGCAAGATAGGATATGGCAAGCCCAGCTTCCTTTGAGGGTCACTACCATCAAAATCACCTGTGTAAGGCCTGCAATACAATTTTCAAATTCACGTCTCAAATTGCACAAGAAAGCATTCCAGAGTGTTATTATTTCTCCCTTTTGGACCCCTTTTTGTTTGGGAAAAAAATGCACTGCCGCAAAGAAAAAGTAATTCTAATTCCAAAAATGACGAATTGAAATTAGGAAGCTTTCTCTGTTACCGTATATCATCAAGGCCTATAACAAGAAACCGGCCATTTATGGATCTCCCAAGCTTAGCTGCTGCTGCATAAAGAGCATGCCTAGAATCAACTTCCCCATTGTGTTCATACTTCTCAAGAGCAACAGCAGCTGCAAAGGATCTACAGACAACAGCAAGCATTTGATCTTCACCCAAGTACTCAGATAATATCCTGCAGACAGGTGAATATATAAACAAAAAGCAGAAGAATAAACAAATATTCTTTTTAACTTGAAGACTGGAAAACGAAAAAGGTAAAGAGGGGGTAGTAGACCTGCTAAGCTCACTGCTCCCAGTACTACCAAGTAAAGCCACCAAACCGATCATGCCTCCCATGAAATCATTGCCCAACTCTTGGGATGGAACTCTTAAAAGGTTGAGGAGTGTAGAAGCTGCAGTGTGGCTCATGCTTTCTATGCGGTGTTTCAATTCTGCTTTCATGGAACAGTAATCTGAATTGCAACGTTCAACAGAAGCTGCCAGCATGAACCAAAATATACACAAGCATTTTTGTAAGTACGTTATTTGTTTAGTCATTATAAAGGTAAAATGAAAATCTTAGCATGGGAAATATTATAACAGAAAACTGAACAAAACAAAAGATCCTTGGATGGAGATATAATTTGAAGTTTGAAATTGAGAAATTATATTCCAAAGATGTATGAAGTGGTCAACAAGCAAAGTAAGGTAAAGCAAGAAGACGCATTTTGGTACAGGAAAATCTCCTTCAAATAGGACACAGGTTTTAACACGCCACATTTATGCCCAACCAAAGAAGGAAAAACCAATAAAATCATATAAGTAAATTAAAACCTTGCAAAACATATATATCTTGCTCAATTACTGCCTTCTCCTTATTAAGCGCATCCAAATTTTTTTCCATATCTCCAATCTGCATTCCACTTCGGTGAAGGTGTTTCTCCAATTCCTGGAGGGATAAGAAGCAAAGTCAAAAATAGAAAGGAATTGTTTAAGGCAAGATTTCCAAATCTGCTTGATTATTGCATTAAGCAAATAAGCTGGACATTATAATGAAGAGACCTATGCATATTTGGGCTAATGAGAGCTCAAATACTTGATATGGGATCTGGATCATACAATAGATGAACTATGATGGTACATCCATGATACAAGATTTCACTTCATCTATAAGTAATTTAAAGCTGCATTTGTTTCCACACCTTCTCCTTATTCACATTTGATGCCTCCAAGTTTTGTGCTTGTGGAAGGGAAGATGAATCTTGGAGAAGAAAAATCTTTTCATTTGGGCAAGGGATTGGACTCTCATCATACTCCACTTTTGGAGCTTTCATTACAGGAACCTGAACATAAAAAACTAGCAATGTCACTGTGGATGGATGTAAATGCAAGATATAAACTTCAAGTTACATATTACTAATTTAACGTTGCAATCACAATTAATACCATTAAGTTTCCTACTTGCTGAATTGAAGAGGAATCCTGGAGAGGCAAAACCTTGCCATGCGAAGACTGAACCTGAATCTCATCAAACTCCACTTTTGGAGTCCCAATTACAGGAGCCTGAACATAAAAATTAACGCCCGTCATTGTCAATGTGGCAGATACAAAATATAAACTTCAGGCTGCCTATAAATGATTTAAAAGTGCATTTGTTTCCATGCTCCACTTTTGGATCTGGATTTGGTATGAAAGATAAACTTACTACGGTACATCTGTGCTAAAAATATGAAACTTATTATCTATAAATTCAAAACTGCATTTATTTCTGCATCTTCTCATTATCACAACTGGTACCTTTAAGTTTTCTACTTGAGGAAGGTTAGATATATCTTGGAGAAGCAATACCTTTCCCTTTGGACAAGTGAATTGGATCTCTTTATACTCCACTATTGGAGCTTGCTTGATCAATACCCTTTTCTCAACATGCTTACAATTTGACTCAGTCTTGTAAACAAATACACATATAAAATGATCAGAAACAAATACACATATAAAATGATCAGAAACAAATTACAATTTTAACACATTAAAAAATGAACAAAAATATAAGACAGCTTGCCAAATATTACTTACCAGATGGAATGAAAATGTATAGACACCAGAAGTTTGAAACAAAGCTGGGTACTTGGATTTAAGTGGAAAGATATATAACCCTTGAATTCCTTTAAGTGGCTCAGGTACTGTGCATGCCGAAATGTCGCAAAAATTTCGAAGACTCTCAGCATCACTTCTGAACTTAACTTCCATAGACATTTTTAAATTAGTTCTAGCAATATACTTCTGGTCAAGGGTCTTTGACGCACAAGAAGAGACATAACTGGCAGGACGAACAACAGCCACAATTACTTCTGGAGGAACTTTTCCAGCTGGGGCATCCACAGGCAATGCCTGAAAGGAAACATTAATTTACGTTTTACTTGAATATATTTCTATTTGATGATCAAGACAATGGTGAAAAGTAAATTAAAAGTCTATTTTATTTTAAACAGAGAATAATGATTGTCAACAATGAAATACACATATACTCATCTCAACTCAACTGAATCCTCAATCTTTTTTTGGTCACATGGACCAGTTTTCATCATTCAGGCCTATCTTAGAATATCTTCGACATCAGTTTATATCCAATCAATTTTACGTCATCCACATATCTCACTTTTGGCCTTTAATATCTTCCTCATTCTTGTGACATGAACCAAATAATTCAAGCATAAATTACGAATAAAGAAAGGAAAAGAAATCCAGAAAAGAAATCCAGAAATATACTAACCCCATCAACCCCCAACTCCTGACATTCTTCTGCATCCAGCAGATCAATTGTAGAAGGAGATTTCTGGCGTTGTTTCTCGAGCTGGTTATCCCATTCATTACTTTCAACAGCTACACACTGATGCCAATAGCTCAAAATTCAGTAAAACAGTCAGCTACAATACTGAAGGAAAAAAAAAACACCATCTTTTTTTCTCCAAAAGAACAAAGGCGTGAAGCAAGATATTAAAATAAAATAAGAAGCCAACCTTCCCAGAATCAATCACACTGACAGGTACAGATAAGGAGTCACGAATATCTAAACTGGTATCCCCGTCATTTATTTTAAGGATGCATCCCTTGTCAACTGACAGACTTAATGGCCTTACAAAAACAATAGCAATAACAGATGTATGCCAGTCAAGCCAAATGATTTTTTATGAATCAAGTGTGCAGGTTACATAAAAGAAAGATTACGGAAGAAAATGCACAAGAAACTGCACCTGCAAATAATTCGAGCCCCCCCTGTTTAGAAAGAAAAAGAAAACCAAAACAAAAGGTCAGGGACTTAAAACTGACCAAAATAATTTCATTGTAGAAGATATCCAGAAAAATCTAATTATCCTTAAGCATGTCAGAACAAAATTATGGAAGGTATGAGCACGTGGATTATATTTCAATAAGAACGTCACAGAAGAAAATGTTAAAAGGATATTCAAGCTTCATGCCTGCACGTGTTATTCGGAACATTGCTTACCACCAGGGTCACCTTCGAGACCTTCAAGCAAAAAATACTCAATTGTGGCATAGACATTGTTGTTATGAACCCCAGCACATGCTCCCCTAAAAAGTTTGATTTTCTGGCCACATTTCCAGGTCACTCCTTTCCTCTTTAGAGATTTATGAACCCTTGCAACTAAAATTTAAGAGAAAAAAATTATATGATTAACAAACATGTGATTCAATTAGATTAAAGTTAAAAATGAAAAGAATTGCATTAAATAAATAAGAAACTCATGCAAACAAATATTCAAATTTTATGTCACACTGCATCATGAAATCAAGCTTCTTCTCCTTCTACACCTACCTTCGGATGAAATGCGAAGTGCCTTTTTGTTTGCAGGACTGACAACAAGAACAGGTTGATCTTCACCACAGTGAGCTTCATCATCATATCGCTCATGCATTTGAAGAATCCAATCCTCATACTCCTTCTTTAGTTGAGAAAGAGTTAATTGGTTTCCATCTCTATATATTTTAATTCTGACATCTATGGAAATGAAAACTATCAGATTTAGAAGAATAACAAACAGAGAATGCAGACTAATCAAAATAGATAGTTGCATACTTATTAAATATAACTAAAGATCACCTTTTTCATTCTCAAAAGGCTGATTGCCTAAGTTCCTCAGTGAAGTGGTAAAAGGACTATGGTGTGCTAGATTGGTCTGTGATTAACAATGCATTTGATCAGTATATCATTTATAGTTGGTTTGGAACCAGCTAACCAGACATAATATATGCTTTCCATTTGCTCAGCTCCATGTGTGTGTATAAATTATGCTTTCTGCAGACAAGTAAAATCACCCAGATGTCTTTTGTGGAACTGTAAAGTAATATCAAATGGCCTCAACTTCTCAAACCCAATGATCATTGATCACTTAGGTGCAACACAGCACATATTTACTCATTGAAGGAAATGGCACAGCCTGAAAAGAATACCCACGCCACCCAGAACTAAAGATAACAACGATGATACATGTTTGACCTTCTATCAATAAGTTATCAGTAATAAGTCTGCGCCATCCAACCAGCTAATATAATTATCTAAAATCTGTTATTTGCAAAAGCAAACAGGCAGAAAGAGGGAGAAAGGGGAAATATCAAAATACTCAAGAAATTTCCATAAATGAGAAGGATTGTTTTTCAACCCAAAAAAAAAAATCAATGGTGTGGTCACAGGCAGACTCGAAAATATTTTTCCAACACACGCAAATATATAGCATTTACCTTAGATGGTGTTGGATTGAAACCAGCGTCAGTCTCTGCAACCACGACATTTTTTGTTCATGCATGTTTACAAAACAGAAGAATTCCAAAAGAATGACAAGAAAATGTTCAGGAAGGGAACTCGCTTACCGATAAAGCATTTAACTCTCAAACAACATATTTTCAACAAGTCTGCCTTATCTCCTTTTTTTTGCTTGAATTCCATGAATGGAAGCCGGGCCTATGGTATATCAGATAAAAAGACACCATTAGAACAAATAATAGTTGCATCTCGAAAGGAAAAAATCAACCACATCCTCGAATCAACAAACATTCCTCCAAATTGTGTGTTGGGATAATACTAAATAAAACGAAAGTCTTTCATGGAGATATATAAAGCTTGTCAACATCTAAATCCTTTAAAAGTTACAACATTCATCAAACATTTAAGCACATAAATGCAATAGAGAAACACACTAGTCCAACTCAACTTTTGTCTGTACATTGAGCTTTTTGGGATTAATGTACAAGGACTCCCTCAAAGGTCAGCCAATTATGGAAGAGACCAATGGTAGCTACATAAGCAATCAGATACATATTTCAAAAGCTCCATTAGATCGGGCATATTTTTGTCAAACAACCATTGGACTTCAAAAGCTTTAGCTATTAGGAAATAGGCCAATGATGTATTTCCAGACAACAGTTTCAGTGTGCACATGTGACAATAATTAGTGGAATGAAAACATATAATAGTTCAACCAAAAAGACTAAAACTTAGTATCTCTCTTTCTGATTGTAAACCTACATATTTCTAATGTATTTCGTGAGAACAATTTAGGCAAATAAAACAATTATTTCAGGAAAACTGAATGCCTACCCAACGAGCATCTGGAAGTAGGCGACCAAGCCTCCGAATAGAGACACGACTATAGGTTTCAAAGTTTTCTGAGGTTCCGCATCCATCAGATTCTAACCTCTCCAAAATTTTCTCAATATTCTCTTTTCCCTGTGATGAACAATTTCATAAACTTTCACAATGTAGTAAAACATAAGTTATGTACAAGAAGGGCGCACACAAAGATGCACGTGCAATATGGTGGGAGTTTGGGACGAGAAAAGAGAGGGTGGGGATATAGAGGAGAATAGGTTGGTTCAAAGAGGAAAGATGAAAGAAAGTAGGAAACAGATTGGAGGTTGAACTAAGTGGGGTTGTGTACTTTGATAATACCATCCATGGTTTCTCAAAGTGGCTTATAAATGGATGGGGTATATTAGGTATTTTCATATAATGTCCAGCAACAAGAGAGTTAGTTCGTACCTCAACCATGGGAAAATAGACACACTTAAGGCGAGCATTTGCTTGTATATATGCTTTCGAATCTACACATATGAAATATGACAAAGGGCCACTCAGAGTTGACATTTTGTTAAGAGTTAAGACATAATATATAAATGAATGAATATATAAAAGAGGTTGACAAGTGCATAATTACATAATTTCATTCTATAACAAAGAAAGAGATAATTTACCAAAGAACGAAATTAGTCAGTTACCGGGAGATTTAGTCATACTGTCTTGTTTACAGGAGAAATGAAGCTGTAGAACAAAATCAGGACCATTGCATGAATGAACATTTGTAATTGCAATTTCCCCACCTTCAATCTCGGCTAAATCAACACCATTAACCTGGGAAATTAAAGGGGACAAATTCCTTACAAAGATCTAAAGACTTAACTTTAAGGTGCCACTAAGAAGTGCGTGCTCATATACGCAACAATAGATGGGCACAGGAATGAACACTAAGACAGTACTCCTGATATTAGATATCTAAAAGCATATTAGATATTCAATCAATTACATGAAAGAAATTAAGAAAGGTTATCTTTTTGCTTCAAAAAAATTCCATCAAAGTTTTGTAATGATGCTGGCTGGAGTACTTGAGGTTAAAAAATACTACAAGAAGTATTTGTCGGTCAGGCAGACAAGCCTGGCAAGTAAACCTTATATAATCTGATAAAATCCTAATCATGTTACAACTCACAGTTCAAGGATGCCTACTCAATCATCTGGATATATTAAAAATAAGACATTAATGAAATACCATTTTTAAAAATAATAAAAAACAAGACCATTAGAAACCTCAAAGTTTACTGGTGTTATGGTCTTCCCTGATTTGGATTCTTCATCACACTGCACATAGATAAAGTAAAGCATGATAATGGATAAGGTTATTATAGTAGAAGTTAGCAAATAAGATGGTCAGTAAATATATTTTTTGTCGACCTCATATATGGAATAGATCCTGCCTGAAAGGCAAATTCCATATGCATCTGCAGTCATATTAGAGGGACTGAAATGCACATAGAGCAACAAATAGTTTTTCTGATTTTCATCAATTTACAACATGATTGTATCAATTCGTTTAGCATTGTCCACGACATGTCTGTGCAGGACGGGAGTCTATTGCTCGCCCTTGCCTAGTGCAGCCTCTTGGACACGTTGTGTTGGGCCTAGTAGTGTCAAAGCAGGTTTAGAGGTACAGTGCCATACAGTGTTAGTACCAACTTGGCACCTTTTAACCTAAACATAAGCTATTAATTTAGTAAAATCAAACCTGAACATATGGGAAATATATATCCTTCAGCTTGCATTGGAGTTGAGATATGTCCAATTTCGATTTAGGTTTAAAAATTTCAACCTGTCAAGCAGAACTCAAAATTTAAAATTCAGTCGAATTAAAATCAAAAACTTAAAATTATTTATAAGGCACAAATAACATTAGTGCACAAACTTAACCTAGGTAGATTAGTGACTACTGCTTATGGCCTAGAGACACTGAAGCATGAAAAAGTAATTCAGAATTGTATTGGCCAATTTCACATGCAAAAAGAAAAGAAAAGAAGAGAGGCAGGAACCAATATCTCAAAGAAAACTCATAACTTTATAGTTGAACTAGACAATAATTTGATAACCACAAAAGATGCAATACTCAACCTTAGTAAAGCTTCCATGTGGAGTTTTGCTAATTTCATCTTCTAAAGGATCCCTCATACCACCATCAGTCTAAAATCAAAGATACAGTTACGATTAGTAGTTTGAGAAATTAACACACCAGTAAATGGTTATATAACAAACAAGAGAATTCAATATAAGCACAAGTATTGCCTTCTGAAAAGAAATAAACTGCAGCGCACACTTTTACCTTCCAATTAGAATCAGAGTCTGACCCTCTTCTTTTCTTTTGAATATTAGAGTTTGACCCTGTGAGTAAAGCCTCTCTGTCAAGATGCAATGTATACACTTTCCTGGAGTCCTTTGTCTTGGAAGAAACTAATGCATGCCTATAACATGACATTGAAATTATCATTGATGTATTCAAGGAACCATTTCAGCAGAAAATCAACTCACATTGAGAAGAAAAAGAAAATCAGAGAAGTTATACCTCCCTAATTGCATAGATGCTAAAGGTCCTCCATAACCAAACATTCCAAAAAATGGCTACATAACACACAAAACAGAGCTTTAGAAACCAAGCCAGTACTGAATATACCATAGACAGAATAATGACATGCAGATTATGGATAAATTCTAATAACTCATAGAATACTTTGAGTCTCACTTTTGGGTCATATTAAGTTCTGAAAGAGGGAAATAAAATACATGAAGTTGCAAATAGAGTTCCTTTTTTGTGTTTCAGTTGAGGGATATACAACCTTAAGAGTCTACATAAAGCTATAAGGTTCTCATGATTAACTTCAATATATAGTTACAAATTATTGTTTTAGCAATAAAGAATGCCCTTGATCGAATCTACAAAAGATTGAAGAGAACATCTAACCGATGACGTATGCTACAAAAGGTGACATAAACAAGATGGCAAATTCAAGAATGCAATAGTCTTTTCCTTTGATGTACATCGTCAAATTTGCTTTTGATTATAACGAGCAGTGCAGATAATTGATTTTTTTGGTTTCCCAGGGTATCCCCCGCGCGACTGCGGAGACTAAACCCAGATAATTGATTTTAACTAAAGCACCAAGAGGACTTTCCTCTAAAGTAGAGGTCACAAGTTTGATAATCCCTTCCATAAAAGTCATTACTGATTAAAAACGCAAAATATATTTATAACCAAAAGAGCCACAGGAAAATATACATTGTAGACAGAAGAGTTTATATCTCAATATATCAAATTTACACACAAATTAGGTAATCATGGTCTATAATACAATAGACGTAAATACAGTTGCATGCTTCTTCACTACATGTATGATGTATCATGTGTGTATTATGCATACTAGATAATTATTCAACCAAAAATGAAGGGAAAAAGTAAAATAAAGACTAACAGAAACCTTGACAGGAAGATATTTGTGATTTAGTTTTACCATTAAGTACGGAGGTCTGCCCCCTATCGCCTGTTCTCTTAAAGATCTGTGAAGTGAAGCACCCATCTTTCCCCTAAAAGGAATGTGAATCACATTCTTAGCATGGAAATAAAACACTTAACCTCACATTCCTTACCATCACTATATCAAAACTATATGCATACAAATCAAGACTGAAATTTTCAGGCTATTCATGTCAGATTTTCTATCACATTTAAAAAAAACCAGCCATCAATTAAGCCATTATAATAACCCGAACAAAACTTAGAGGCATCTTTGAAAGGAATGAGTTCCAACAGTATGAAACATATTGGGGTATCTGTCCTTTTGCTTTCCTTTGTAATTCTCTTGTCATATGGAAACTTGATATTGGATTTTTAGCAAAACTTGTTTCACCATTCCTACCCATACTTTTGCCTTGGACTCTTGTAACCCATAGCCCCCAAGCAAATTTATTTAAAAAGAGAAGACATAAAACGGTTCAAGGAAAATTAAATACCACTTCACTATAGAATTTTCATCGCTTCCATCCATCCCAGGGCCAGTATCAAAAATTGAAATCACATCATCAGCCACATCCACACTGAAAATAATAAAGGGGAAAAAGAAAAATAATAAAGTAACCATGGAGATATAATAAAGGATAACAATGAGTAAGAGAATGGATATAAGCACAATAGATGGAGTAGCATTTAAAGATCAAACAAATATATCTATCAACTTGAAAGATGAATTGCAAAGTTAGTTTTCAGCAACAAATGACATTGCACGAGGAGCTCAACTAATTTATAACTTAACAAGTGAAACGTTAATTTCAATTACATTGCTCAACATTGAGTTAGTGGTTGTATCAGCAATCATTAAGAAGGAGCCTGCAAAGAATCTCTAAACAACTCTAACAACATGATAGACCCGAATACAAAAGAAACCACCACATAAAGGAGAATATCCCAACAGTATAAATAATGGTCAATCTTCATCTCTCGACCATGATATATCGCTTTCCTTAGGAAGCACAAATCAAAGACCATATAGCATACATGGTCCAGGTTGTACAATTGAAGCAATAGATTTGATAATAATGCAAATCAACATTAAAAAGAAAAACCTTGAATTACTATAGGATCTACAATTGACATACCTTATAAGTTTCTTATGTCTCCTGTCATTTGCCCAAACAGCTTGGAGGGAGTTATCCTGATGCATTTATGAGCAGCAGAACTTAGGCAATTAGATGAAAACAAAGTTAACCACATAAGTGAATAACCAGATCCATTTTCTCAGCTGTATATGTCAAGCAACTTACAATCAAATCTGCCAGAGCAGTCTCAAATGTGTACTCTTCTGGTAATTCTTTTAGTATATCAGTAACAGGTGTCAGATCCCACATATTCTACAAACCAGACAACTCCATCGTGAATTAATGGCAACCTTTGACCAAGCGCATTAAACTTTCAAATGAGCAATTCAATTATGAATTTCAAATTACATAGTAATATGGAAACAATAATGTAAGAGATATTACTAACCTCAAAAGTATAAGCACTCTCATGGGAACCATCCTACCTCATAAACAAAACAAGCAAAATATTATGATACGAAAAACATATATGGTTTTCGTCGACAAGCAATCAAATTAAAAGATCGCAACCACAACAGTAACCTTCCAATTGGTTGAGAAATCAAATAACATGGCACCTTTTATAAAAACACAAAAAACCATTTCAGATCAATTTAGTTTCAAATTTCCCCTGTCACCAAAGAGACCAATGCTTCCATGTTCTTTCATATTTCCCAGAAATTATCCAGAAACTAAACAAATTACAACATAGTTTGAACTCATGCATCTTATACTCACATGAAGCTTTAGAATATGACACTCATGTGGCTTGAAGTTCTTGAAATTCATTTCACCTCTTATTTTCCTATCATTGGCATCTTCAAGAAATAAGCGACCACTTTTCCAATCAATATCCCTTTTCCGCTTCCCTGAGCTGAATTGTCTATAAGTGAGAGAGTATTCCTCTTCCAGCCTTTGAATGAAATCTCCAAATGGCATTGTGGGCTTAGGATTTTGAAATGTCAAACAAACGCTTGTGCCATTTGGTAATAGGATCTTGAATCTATATTCCCTGTCCTTATCACCATGATCTTCAAGCATTTGGCTCTTTTTGGTCCGCTGCAGCATTGCTGCATCCATTTTCAGCAACACGAAATCTCTTTAGAAAAGACAATAACAGAATTAAGAGATTTGAAATTGCTCAGGAGCCAAGAAAAATCATCTCAACCCACATAACTCTACATACTAATGTCTCTTGTGCATGTAAATAAGTGCAATATGATGCATTATCTGACAATTTACTAGCCCAAAGAAGGTAATGAAGTAGGAAAAACAGGGAAAACTGTTATTATTGACAGAAAATTCAAACGAAAGGAAAAGGAGTTAAAAGTGTTTCAAAGCCAAGAAAATCTCACTTTAGGTGATATATATAGAAGATTTGAAGTCGCCCCCAAACCATTAGTCATACTTTATTTCGTACAACATTTTATGGGCCACCAGGAGTTAATAAACAAGCAAAATGCAGAGATAAAGAGAGAACAGGAGTATCAGGACCGATTTCGACTGAAGATTACAAAAGCCAAAACATAGTTTTCAAACAGATGGTTGAAGAACATGTTAAGAGGCATTCAACCCACAGATAAATCAATATCCAGATGTAGATGACATAAATGACTAGAGGCATCAACAAAATTCTTTCACACTGGTCACTTCTAGCTCGGTACGTGTTGAAGTAAATGTGCATTTTATTAAAAAAAAAATCAATAAATAATAGCCGTTGTGTGAAACAAGCATTCAATCACTGTATAATCAACATTCGCGCGCACACACACACACAGAGTTTAGATATATCATATATTATATACATATACATTCAAGTGTGTATAAGATTCATGCCTTTGAAACTCTGAGACTCTGTTTTCGTATGGAGACGCCTCTTGCGTGGAGCTCACGCAGTGAAGCAAAACTTTCAGGGTTTTCAGAGAGCAAAAAAGAAAGGTTGTATTTTGTAGAAAGAAAAGAAATGGGAAGAGAAAGCGAAGTTCGACTGTTGAGTGTGAGAGCAGCGAGAGTAGACAGTAGAGAAATGAACCGTCTTCTCCTCCCCGCTTCGCTATAGCCTATAGGCTAGCACACAGCGAATGCTTTTTCTCTTTGGCCAGGTCGCTCCAGTACATACTAAAATGCGCTGGTTGGCTTTTCTCGCCATGTCAGCGTTACATTTGGCCTTTGGTATGGCGCACGATACCCCATCTGTTCATATTAGCGGCGTTGCTGAAAGGCGGTGACTTGGGCTGGGATGCGCACGTTCTTCTTAACTTGCGCCGGGTGAGCATTACACAAAAGTTGGGCTTGGGTGCCACGTGTGAGAGACTGGGAAAATGAGGAGACAGTCCGGTGTGGGACCCTCTGCCTTGTGGCGTATTCGGGAAACGCCTGAAGGCGCGCGATATTTCAGCCTTTTTAATTACTTTAAGGGTTAAATATTTTTCTGTCATGAAATTTCAATTTGGTCATTGAGAAAAAGAAAATTAGTCAAATTAGTCACTGTATTAATCAAAGTTTACAATTTATAAATTTGAAGTTAAGTTTCCTTTAAGTTTTTGGGTTAAATACCTTTTTGATCATTGGGTTTTACACGAAATTTTAATTTGATCACTAATAAAGAAAAAAAAATTAACCAAAATCCAGGCAAATGCTATGCTCTTGCACACATGCTCGTAGGCTGAAAATTTATAGCTGGTGTAGCATCAATTAAGGCTAAAACAAGGAATCATATCATGACAAAATATGTTCATATATAATAATTTCAAAAAAGCTCAAATTATAATCCCAACCAGTATCGTACTCCCAAATATAAAGTTCAAAATAAAGTTTCACATTTGCATGGCTTTTGGCTAACTTTTTTTTAGTGGCTAAATTGAAATTTCATGTAAAAGCGAGTGATTAAAAAGGTATTTAGCAAAACAACTTAACGGAAACCAACTGCAACAATAAAAATGGTAAAATTTTGATAATTGTTGGGGTCTTTTTCCGTCGGAAGGCTCGTCCGGGCTTGTTGATTCTCGAACCGCCATAGAGTGGTG